TCACCAGTGACCCAATAGACAAAGTAGCTTTATTCATGTTTCGTGTGGTACTAAGAAAGGTGAGAAAACAAACAAAATGATTACAATTGTCGCATTGGAGTGCAAAGGAATCTTACGTGACATTTATCATAATTTTTTATAGGTTTATTTTACAAGTCAAATTAAAAAATATTTTACCTTACGAGTAAGCCAAGGTAAGGTGGGGTGATACTGTTTCTTTGCTCATGTTATCGTTCGTGATTATTTATTGAAAAGTAGATGAGTGTATCCCTGTTGATTTTTAGATGGAGTTTTAAATTTGATATTTTTTTTTTATTTTTTTAGTACAAATATTAATATTACTCATATAATTCTTACTTAAAAAAAAAAAAAAAAAAAAAGTGGGCGAAACTAGGAGAGTTGACATGAGGACGACTGAGTCTAAATTAACCCCCCAAAAAAAAAAAAATCATAATTTTTTGTTTCTGTATTCATGTAGCCACAGACCATAAAATCTGAATCGTGCAAAATTGTAACAGTTAGAATTGAATTGAGGAAAAATTACCTATCAACTTTATTTTTTAAAAATTAAGAGAAGATTTATTTAAAAATTATATTATTTTAATAAATTTTTATTAAAAAATTAAATTATTATATTTTAAAAACATATATTAAAATAATTTTTATTTTTCTTTTAATTTTTTAAAAATAAAACAGATAAATACAAACCTTATATTCAAGTGAGTTACAATTTCATTTTCTCTACCAGGGAAGGGATTTGTTATAATCTAGGAAAGAGAATTTATTTTCATAATTGTCAGCTTTCATATTTTCATTTTTAACACGGAAGTTCACATGTATCAGAGCAAAGTATAGCCTCGGAGAGAAGGGATGAAGAGACCATCATGGGTTTGTACTTTGGCCACACAGGTGTGTCTCTGCTTTGCTCTCTACATGGTTCTCAACTTGGGCCAGCCTCAGGAATCTGTTTACAGGCACGGTAGTTGGAAGTCCCGTGACTTTTACTTTATCAGTGTTAGAGGAGGGTTTAGACCCATCAAAGAGCAGAACCATCTTCTCAAACTGGTCTGTTTCTTATCCTTTCTCCCTGAAATTCCTGTTTCATAAAAAAAAAAAAAAAAAATTCCCCTTTTCTGTCATGGGTTTTGTATATGGGTGTGAATGATTGAATCTATATCAATTTCTGTTTCTGTGCCAACCCAGTTTATGGTTGCTGAATTTTTCCTTTGGTCGGTGTCTGAGCAATCATGAACAAGAAATGGAATTTAGAAATGCTGTTAGTGTTGATAGGAAAATAAACTTCTTAACCCAAATGAGGGAATTTATTGAGCTTTTCTCTAATTCTCTACCCGTGCTTTGACTTGGGACCAGAAAAAGCAATTCAACCTTTTTTCTTCAAGGAGTTTTTTTGTGTCTCTGTGTGTGTGTGTGAGCGAGAGGGTTTTGAATTTCTTCTTTGTTGGTCAAGGTGAAATTGGTTACTGATTAGACTGGGAAATCATGATCTTTACTTGAAGTGGATATCCGTTTCTATATCTATGGGTTTGTTCACTTTGTTGATTTGTTCTATACATGACATCGTTTTATTTATGAACATTAATCTATATTTGTCAATATATCTGAAGTTCTTTTCAATGATGTAGATGGAGAAAGTGGTGAAAACTTACAATGCAAGTTTTGTGGTCAACATTAGTGAGCTTGGGGAGGATGATCCACTCATGCACAATGTAAGATCTGTGTTCCTGAGTCGAAACTAGGAATTGTGCAAGGCTTGGTGTTTTTTTTATTTTTCATTTTTTATCATCATTTGGTTTCATTGTTTTCAATAGTAATAACCGCTCTATGTATGTCTTTTTGTAGGTAACCTTGCTCTTCCCGGCACTGAAAGTTTCCTGGTATTCTATCCTCTTAGCAGTCAGTTAGTTCTTTTACTTGGGTACATTAGCATCATATGCAATGTTGTCATTATTGTTCTAATGTCTCACATTTAAATCCTACATTAAGATCATAAAATAATACAATATTCTATTTTTATGAACTTGCTTGGTTGTGGTGATGGGTGATTATGCTTTTAGGTACTCCACTAGAGCTTCTAGCCAGGGAACTGGCTGCTTCCTGGAGAAGATTGTATTACCTAATGCGAAAACACTGGATATTGTCAATCTGGATACTGGTTTGCTGCAGGTGGTTATTGGTTTTCCAAGTCTTGCATTTTAAATTTGTTCATTTACTGGCATCAAGTACTTTAAAACCTAAAAGATATAAGTTATCTTTCTTCTTTCCTCTGATTTGTGCCTCTTCTATTATTTCAATTTTTTAGGACATAAAAATTAAAGGATTATCGAGTGCCATCCAAAACAATACATTAAATTGGCTGGCAAGGACTCTTGAAGCCGCTGATGGTAACTGGTAAAATAACTCTATATCTTGGTGGCTGGCACAAATTTTCTTCCACTAATGGTTAACTTTTTGAAAGATTTTTAAAGTTTTAATTGATTCATCCATACTTGGAATGGAAAACTTGAAGTTTTTCATTACACTACATTTGATATGAATTCTACTCTTTTGCAGCACTTGGAAGTTACAATCTTAAGAAACTGTTCATATTTTCTTAATTCATTGATTGTCATCTGCTGTCTATTTGGATTTCAGCCTTATATTACCATATACCAACATATTATTCATCCAAATCTAAGTGCCTTTTCAAAACTGTGAATCCAGGCTCATAGTGATCGGATTTCACCCCTTGCTTCCTTGTGAAGAGAATAATGAACAAATGGAAGCAAAGCAGATATATGAGCCTCTACACCATATCTTTATGAAGTATGGAGTGGTAATAAGGAAAACTTATTTTTGAATCAACAGTAAATATCATTCATTCTTTAACTTCACAATTTGTGAATTAAAGTCAGTTCTGAACACACCCTACCTCAAAAGGAATTAAAGAATTTTTCTTCACTCACACTGTCTAAGCTAACACCTTGCTGGTAATTTTGATGAATAGACTGACTCATGGTATTACACTTGTTTCTAGAATGTTTACATTAGCAGGCAAGGTTGTAATAGCTATGCCCTTCAAGATGGTATCACTTACATTGGCACCCCCAGTCTACCTGAAGAAGAAGAACCCCATTTGGCTCATACAAAAGGAAGATCTATATTTAGCAAGTGAGTTCTTTACTTCTACCAAATTTTCAGTCTTTATCATGTTTTACGTCACTTTTACCTGCAACTTCATCCACGTCTTCTGCATTTCTGAATTTTTTCTTTCTTTCTTCCTCAGAGAAATGGCTAATGGATTCCTTCTCCATAGGGTCAGCATGATAGAGATTGTGAGTATCTATTCTTTCCTCTTCTGTCTTTTCAATTGACCATATTAGGTTGTGTGAAGTATCCATTATCCAAGACCTTGAGTTGAGTCAATCCAGTTCATATTCTCGACATCCATAACCCGGTTAGATGTTGTTCTAGAATCATAAGATGACATTAGTCTTTATATTGCCAAAGCACAGACGAACCAACTGATTTAATTTTTTCTCTGACAGGTGACTTACTTTGTTACCTCAGCAGGGGAAGTTGTGTACAGAATTGAAGTCCAACAGAGGGGTAAGGAGGTGATGTAAATTTTCTTCCAGCAAAAGCGCATTCTCCACTATTCTCTGAACTCACAGTGCCAATCATCTCTGCAAAATTTTGTCGGGGTATTAGCTTATTCATTCATCCTCCAAATCTCCAACAAGTCATGTAAAAATTGCCTTCTTTGTAACTTTTAGCTGATTGTTCAGGTTGTTTTTCCCTGTAAACTTTCACTTGAAATTTTGTTCCTCCCCACAAATTTATGAATAAAATGCCCCTTTTTTGTTCTTTTTAGCCTTCTTGAGTGTATTATGAACAAATCGTTGGGTGGTGTTATTGCCACAGCTTCACAGGTTAACACCACAGCTTTTTTAATTAATTGACCATTAACCCACGCGGAGAAGGTGGTGACTGCTGCAAATTGGATTCAAATGAGGGGTATAATAGTCAAATAATTAAAAAAAAGCTGTGGTATTAACAGTAGTGGCTGTGGCAATAACACCACCCAACGATTTGTTTCCCTTCTGATTCATTTAAATGACCAAAATACCCTGGATATCTGCACCATTATAATGTGGAGAGAAGACTAAATTGGGAAATACAAGAAACCAGGCAGTGTTATGAATGGACATGGAAGGGATTAACAGGGATTTTAGGCACTCTTCAAGAGAATGAGGCTCTCTTTTGGAGAGATGGGGAGTCCTGAGGGTTGTTGCCCATCTTTACCCGTTGGCGATCCGCCGGAGCCGATGAGTTTGCCCTCTGAAAAAGTAAACAACCCTTCTTCTTCTTCGTCGTCGTCTTCCTTTTCTTTTCCTTTCTTTTTATGATTTTACTACGATGGAAGTTCATATACATATATGTTGCTTTTGCCATATGCATGCTCTGTCTCTCTTTCTCTCTCTTTTCTCTCTCAAATCAAAAACGTAACGAGGCTGTGACGATCTTGGTGGTTCTCAAGAGTGTCAAAATCGAGCACGGCAGAGCATCCGTTCCACGGCGAGGCGACCCGGATGGCCTTTGGGAAGAAGTTGCCACCCGCCGGCAACCGGTTTGTCGCAGCCGTGACGGAGTTTCTCCATGTCTCTGATCAAAACCATATCTGAGCCTCCCCCCTCTACCAATTTCCATCTTACATCAAAACTCATTCCTTTTAAACATTGCATTATAAAAATCTGAACTTTTTAACTGGAACACTGAATTGGCGTATTAAAATTTAAGATTTCGATCTAAATTATCGAATAAAACCTAAAAATTTGAGATTGAAGCATAAAGTAGCCAACTTTACTCTAGTGAGGATGGAAACAGGACGACCCAGAACCAGGAAAGGGCCCCTTTGGGAATGACCAGGATGTCCTTGTTTCTTGATGGGGCCTTTTGACTGAGTTGAAAGTGGAGGGGTAAAAATGTGGAATGAGAATAACATGAACAGGATTAAAGGGGGCAGGAATTAGGGTTTCATAACTCATTAGTTTAAGAATGAGGCTCTGCTCTCAGGAAGGTTGAAGGTTCCAAGGGTGGTTGCCTCCCTTCTCTGATCGACAGCGGAGTCGGTGATTTCACCTCTGTGCATGCCGGATTAGTATAATAATAATCAATAGCTCTGGACACAAACTGAGAAGAGATAACCATCGGATTTTCTCTCTTCCTTTCCTTTACCTTTCCTTTTTCATTATCATCATCACCATTTCTTTCGCTGCTCTGTTCTTCTTCTTCTTCTTCTTCTTCTTCTTCTCTTGAAATGAGGCTGTGATGAAATCTTGAAAAAAGAAACTGGCTTTGAAGGGAAAGGCTGTAGTTTGGCGGGGCAACCTCTGGGGTCACCGAGGAATGATGGGTTTTCCCGACCGTTCATTCGCGGTGGCAACTGTTGCAGCCACCGGCCCTGTTCCTTCGCCTGTCTGAGAAAAGGCGAATCTGAGCCTCCCTCCCCCAACCATACTCTGCATCTTTTTTCTATTTTCACATGGAAAATCCAAGAAAATGAGT